GCTTTGTATTTACTTTGGCTGGTGGAGAAAAAAACTGCATCACGGTTGTTGTCGACGCACTTCGCCTATACAGTACTGTGTTGTTTGGCTGTTAGCGAGTAAGCTAACCAGTCAATCTGAACCGACAGGTGCTAACGGTTTCAATTTCAAATCCTGGGTTCTCAACTATTACAGAACCAAAAATAAACCGCTTTTCATGGTTCTGTTGATTGACAACTGTTAATCCCTTTGTGCCAGCACGTACTTTAGCAGGCGTCCAGCGAGGAAGTAGTTTGTGGTTTTTGACATTAGCAAGGGAAGCTAAGTAGCATCTATAAGGCGATATTATGCGCGCTGATCCCTCATGCTCATCCCTCTGTGCCTGCACGCTGCTCACTCATTCAACAAATGACAGTTTTTCCCGTGCATGTATTTTACACCAGGGCCAGTGTGTTCAACCCATAATGCCTCTGTGACTGCGGGCTGTTTTTAATCACTTGTAAACAAGCGAGCTAAAAGTCAAAGAGGCCGCACATTAGACATAAACATCTCTTTACTTGTTGACTTTTAATGCCTCTGTGCCTGCACGGAATTCCTCACTCTGGATATATTTTTACACACTGCTCTGGCAGAGATCTGAGGACGGAGACGACTGACGGTAAAACCTGTAAAAACAAAAATACATGTGAAACATACTATTAAAAAAAAACAAAAATCAAATAACTTTAAAGGTGTAAAAGTGCGCAAATAAAACATTAACTCTTCAATTTTTGGGAAAAGTGACAGCCCCACAGTGTGTGCAACAAATATTCACCATACTTCAAAAATAAAATAATAATAAAAAAAAATTTGACGAGTTCTTTGCACCGGTTTACCACTGTTGTTCCAAGTGCTGAGGGCCGAGGACGGTGCCACCTACTGACAGCACCGGTCTCCTGCTGGTTACACAAACACTTTTCAGCTGAAAGGAAATAAAAAACACACACACACACACAGCTCAGGCACCAGGTCGTGACATGGCCGCTTGGATTCAAACACACACACACACAGAGTACAGTATAGAACGCAGCAGTCCCACACACACAAAATGAAGACGGTTTTAAACACTCGATAAAAAAGCACAAGGTGGTGTCGTCAAATGAATTGCACATGAAGAGACAGGGTGGAGGAAGCACGGTGAGAGGAGCAGGGCGTAGAGGGAGGTGCAGCGGTGAGAGGAGGAGACAGTACATTCAGTAAACAATAAAAAAAGGGAGACGGGTGAGGCAGTGGGGGAGGAGGAGGAGATAAGGGGGAGAAAAAGGCGAGATAAGAATCAAAACTGTTGAAAATCAATTAAATAAAAATGAAAACACTTTTCTTTCCTTCTTCAGTTTGTCTTTTTTTTTTTTTTTTTTCAGTCGTATTGGGAGCGGGCCCCGCCTCCTGTGTGTGAGTCGGTGCTTCAGTCACATCCCAGAGCGAGCGCTCGCTCAGCTGTGTGTCTGAGTTTTCATTGTTTTTGTTTTTGTTTTTTTCTTCTTCTTCTTTACTTAAAGTCATTGTTCACGTCTAACGTCTCTACAGACCCCGGCGTCGCGGCGTCAGGGGGAGGGAGTAGTGGTCCAGGGTGCAAGTCTGCTGTGACCTGACGGACGCACAGGCATTTACACAAGTGCACAAACACACACGCACACTGTCTCACACACACACACGTTCAGTGTCACACATTAACACACAGAGTGCATTCTCTTCCCATCAGTCCTCGGTACAGGATTTTTTCTCTCCTCTCAGCTGAACTCACTGAGTTTGTCTCTCTTCTTCTTCATCTTCTTCATCGTCTTCATCGTCTTCTGTACAAAAGCCGCCTCCTTCCCTCGGAAACGGCGTCTGCAGGTTCCTCCTCGCTCCTTCGTCTTCAATCATCTGAATCGTTTTTATGTTGGGTTTTTTTTGTTGTAATTTTTTTTACAGCATTTCTCCTTTTTTTTTTT